GGCAATTTCTCTTTTTTATGAATTAATGAGTTAAATTAAATGATCAATCTTTAATTGAAGAACTAGGACACACTGCATGAGAAAGGAAACGAGGTGAAGGAAAGATATGTAGCTCAGAGCCCAGCAGGTGCTGTTATGACCCCCCTCCCCCAGTGTGAAGCTTGGGTGCAGTCAGTCCAGCGACCCACGCTGTAGACATCTGATCTCCGTTCTTCTAAAACAAACCTGGCTGCGCTACAGACATGAGGCCTGAAGTGGCTCAGGAACGCGCCACTGGTGCAACAGTAAACCTTATTATTTGTGTCTGATGTGGTGAAACAGGATAGACCGGACCATTCACAGTCAGGGGGGCAGTGTGTGAGTGGACTCTGTCCTCCGGCACGGAGAACATCGACGTCCTTTTCCTCGACACATTTATTACGGTCCGAACCACGATGACACCAGTGACACATTAGATGGTCTGATATGTTCATTTTTCATTTTACATGATTTAAACAACTTGTGTTTATTGTGCTACTGGGAAAGCACAGCCTGAATTTAAATCCCCAATGGGACAATGCAGGTGATGTTACTTTATTTTATTATATAATGTGTTACTGTATATGTTTATGTTGCATCTTACTGTGTAGTATTTTATCAAGTTGTGTCATAATATACTATGTTGTCTTGCATTATATTTTATTATATAGTATTTTGCTGTATGTATTTATTTACCTTGATTAATAGCAAATGAATGGCTGCATACTTGTCATGGTCTTTTTAGGGGCAGAACTGTAAACTGTTTTACATTATATTACATTGTAATGTTTTGTAAAGTATTGTATCGAATTAATCACGTTTCAATTACAACTTTTGGGTTTTGCATTTGTTACTTTTGCATTTTGAAGCTCATTTTACAAACTAATTAGAATATCTGCTTGCATTAAAAGTAAATTTTTTGCGATATTGGTCAGGAGTGGCATGTCTTACTCTGTATTTTATCATACCGTACCATACCGTGCCATAACGTAATGTAACGTAACGTAACGTAACATAACGTAAAGTAACGTAACGTACCATACCATACCAAACCAAACTGTACCATACCGTAACTGTACCGTACCAAAACGTAACGTAATGTAATGTAACGTAACGTAACGTACCATACCATACCATACCGTACCAAACTGTACCATACCGTAACTGTACTGTACCGTACCATAACGTAACGTAACATAAAGTAACATACCATACCATACCATACCAAACTGTACCATACCGTAACTGTGCCATACTGTAACTGTACCGTACCATAACGTAACATAATGTAATGTAACGTAACGTAACGTACCATACCATACCGTACCAAACTGTACCATACCGTAACTGTGCCATACTGTAACTGTACCGTACCATAACGTAACATAATGTAATGTAACGTAACGTAACGTACCATGCCATACCGTACCAAACTGTACCGTACCGTAACTGTACTGTACCATAACGTAACGTAACATAAAGTAACATACCATACCATACCATACCATACCAAACTGTACCATACCGTAACTGTGCCATACCGTAACTGTACCGTACCATAACGTAACATAATGTAATGTAACGTAACGTAACGTACCATACCATACCGTACCAAACTGTACCATACCGTAACTGTGCCATACTGTAACTGTACCGTACCATAACGTAACATAATGTAATATAACGTAACGTGACGTACCATACCGTACCGTACCAAACTGTAACGTACCGTAACTGTACTGTACTGTACCATAACGTAACGTAACATAAAGTAACATACCATATCATACCATACATTTCAATCCCATACCATACCATACCAAACTGTACCGTAACTGTGCCGTATCGTAACGTAACGTAACGTACCATACCATACCATACCTTTCAATCCCATACCATACCATACCGAACTTCCTGTAACAACTTGTGTTCCACTGTGTTGTGGACATGTTCACTCAGATAGATGTCACTAGTGGTTACAGAATAAACAGAAACTGTGGCTAAACTCTGGTCTGCTGCCCTTAAACAGACCATAACAAGTATGCAGTCATTTATTTGCCATTAATCAAGGTAAAACATCTAACTGGGGCATAATTGACTGTGTAATTATTCTTACACAATGGACTGTATTGATGCTGCTCTTGTCTCTGTAATTAAATGCTGTTTTTGATGGGACAGCATTGAGCTGTGGCAGATTTTTAATTAATCACACAATTTAAAGGCCATAACTGCAGAACATGTCATCTGTTATACAAATAAGATATGCTTCATCATAACATGAAGTACGGTTTACAGTGGCTTTGATGTTGTGTTTTCTTTTAGTTGACCAAAAACACCAGATTTGAATGTAACTTGATGCTTTCAAGCAGTTTTTAATTTGATCTTTAGTGAAAAATCATAAATGAAAGTGACGTGTGTGTGTGTGTGTGTGTGTGTGTGTGTGTGTGTGTGTGTGTGTGTGTGTGTGTGTGTGTGTGTGTGTGTGTGTGTGTGTGTGTGTGTGTGTGTGTGTGTGTGTGTGTGTGTGTGTGTGTGTGTGTGTGTGTGTGTGTGTGTGTGTGTGTGTGTGTGTGTGTGTGTGTGTGTGTGTGTGTGTGTGTGTGTGTGTGTGTGTGTGTAAATGAGTCCATCCTTTGAAATAATGTTGGTGTGTAGCAGATGACAGGCTGTCACATCTTATTCACTTCTTCAAATTTGTTCTTTGCTTGTGCTTCAGAGACCTGACAATAGGATGTTTCTTTCCTGGTGCTGCTCACATCCTGCAGCTCATCTAGACAAACATTTGGATGAGGCTCCTTAAATGTCAAGAAAAAATGGATCATTTGTGTCTTTTAGGTCTACAGCAGTGGATATGCGTATAGATTTAACTATTTATTTGATAGCTGGGTTTTAGTATTTTGATAGGAAGATTGCTTTTACCTGTAGTTAGGTTTATATTTAATGTGTGATAATATTAAGTCAGAATTAGATCCAATAATATTTTATATAGAGGACTGATGGTGACAGACTAGTTAAAGCTGTAATGGCAAACCTGCAAAATAAGCTAGCTTTTAAACACAAACACATCACAGAACTCTCATATCTCCAGTTGGTTATCATCCCCAGCCACGCCCCCCCCCCCCCCCCTAGAAATGCACATTGCCACAGTAAACAAGATAGCACTAAACACCAGTCACAGTTTTCTAGGTCCAAATGTCTTTTCTTATGACTTCAAAAGGTGTTTTTCTTTTTGGGACTCTGGTAGTTTGTCCTAAAGTTGAAGTGGTAGCAGCCGGCTGTTTCTCCTTCTCTGATAATATAGAGCAGAGAACCTCTCACACCAGTGGTGTTCTGCTAGTAAATGCGCGAGTGTGTAATGAGTGGAGGACCCAGGGAAGTGCGGCGATTTGGCCATACCAACAAACGGATGGTCCAATCGTACCCAGCAGTATTACTGGCCGAGATTTTTAGACAAATGCAAGAGAACCACTTCACTGATTTTTTGGGGGATTTTTTTTTATCTCCACAAAATATTTTATAACTATAGCAACTATATTAGAACATTGTTAAGAGGCATGAAAAATGTTTTCAGAGAGCTTATTTTGCAGATTTGCTATTGTAGCTTTAAGTGCCTGCCTGTTAATCGGGGGTTGCAGGTACGAGACCTGCTAAGTCTGTCATAGTCGTTGTGACCCTGGGCTGCCTTGCCTGCTGGTGGTGGCCAGAGGGACCGGTGGCGCCGGTGTGCAGCAGCCTTACTTATGTTTATGTTTATTTATTTGACAGATGCTTTTATCCAAAGTGACTTACAATTTATAACCTATAGGGCACGTTGTGATCCGTGGGGGAAACCGGAGTACCCGGAGGAAACCCACGCATGCATGGGGAGAACACGCAACTCCACGCAGAAAGGCCGCAGCCGAGTTTCGAACCTGCAACCTTCGTGCTGTGAGGCAACAGTGCTAACAACTGCGCCATCATGCAGCCCATCACCAGGCAGCTCATCACCACCAGTGAGTTGTGGTGGATGGCTGCTTATACTGAGCCAGGGTCCTCTGGAGGTTTCTTCCTGTTAAAGGGGAGTTTTCCTCTCCACAGTCGCTGCATGCTTGCTTAGTATGAGGATTGCTGTAAAGACACTGACACTAGTCAGTGACTTGATGCCACCTGCTGGGTTCCTTATATAGGAAACTTTTTACTGATTGGCTTAATGAACTGACCTGTTTTGGAACGTTTACGTTGTTAAGTGCCTTGAGACGACTCTTGTCGTGATTTGGCGCTATATAAATAAACTGAATTGAATTGAATTTAATGTGTGTGTGTGTGTGTGTGTGTGTGTGTGTGTGTGTGTGTGTGTGTGTGTGTGTGTGTGTGTGTGTGTGTGTGTGTGTGTGTGTGTGTGTGTGTGTGTGTGTGTGTGTGTGTGTGTGTGTGTGTGTGTGTGTGTGTGTGTGTGTGTGTGTGTGTGTGTGTGTGTGTGTGTGTGTGTGTGTGTGTGTGTGTGTGTGTGAATGACTGCTCGTGTTGTAAAGTGCCTTGAGGGGTTGTAGAATCATATAAATGCAGATCATTTACCTTTTTTAAAATGTTTTAAAATTGTCTGGGTTTGTAAATTGTCCACTTTTTCTGTTTTCTGCTCATCTGAAGTGTTTAAGCGTGACCAAAATAAGAAAAAACAAGAAATATGTGAGGTGAGAAATGACTTTTTATAGCACTGCAGTGACGATTATGTTGCATTGGGTATTTTTAATCTTTATGGATCATGACAGGAAATAATTTCACCTGTATTTTTGCATCTTTTTGTGTCTCCATTAAACAGAGAATCTGCTTCCTCCATGGTTTTGATGGCGTTCGAGTTAATAAAGAGATGGAATGGGAGTCTTGGGGTTTGGCTGGATGCAGAGAGCGGGGGGGGGGGGGGGGTCTGGGGTGGCCCGGATGTTGGTGTAGTAACGGCGGAGGGGCTAACTGACGCGCGCGCGCGCGTGTGTGTGTGTGGGCGCGTGGCTCTCTCGGTTCTCGGTCGCCCTCCTCCTCCTCCTGCCCCCCCTGTTCCTCCTGAAGAGCAAAATGCGAAGCAGGAGCAACGGAGCGTTCAGTCTACAGACACAGGGTGTAAGGCAGCAGCGGCAGTCCGGCGTTCGGTAGACTGCACCGGCGAGAAGCCCGCGGAGGGGGGACCGCTTCAAGTTACGGTAAGCTAACGGTCCCCACCACGGCTGGGCTGATCAACGGTGGCTTCCGCTCCATAAACAGAAAAATAGACAGTTTTCGCTGTGAGATTTTTATAGTTTGGTGTTTTAAATTTTTTAACATATTATTTTTTCTTTTAATGCTTTATTAACTCGAAGTTTTAATATTTACCGGAAACTGGTGCGCGACGTTTTAGCTAGCAGCTGGAAAGTTAGCGGCTCGGCTGAACGACAGTTACCTGTCGAGCTTCTCCCTTCTGAAATACGTGAATCTTTTTAAACTCTTCTCCCACTAAAACACATTTCATGTGTCTAAAACGCATCTGAACTAGTCAGAATTGACATTTAAAATAGCACCAGGAGAAATTTAGTTCAGTCTCTTTAATTCAAATGGGTTAAATTATGTTTAAAAACCCTTTAAGTGTCAGCAGTACTTTTGTTATTTAATTACCGTCCATCCCCCCAATTATGTCTAGTAAAAAAAGAACATCATTGCATGTAATCACCATTAGATGAATCTTCTTTGGACAAATGATGACATTTTCCGACTCTTGCGTCTCAGCTCCGGATGATGGGAGGTAGCTGGACCAGATTCTGATGTATGATCAATCGGCTTGCTCTGTTTATGCGTTTACTGTGACTTTGAGTTCGGTGGTTTTAAAGCAACGTTTGTCTCTGAGCAGCTGCTTCTGTCTTTCTACTCTCGTGTTTGTGTGAAAACGACTTTTAACACATTTCCTCCGCACTTCCGCCTCTTGCTTCACCCTGATGATGAGTTCATCACCAGTCCAGCTGAGCATCCTTCACCCTCCGTCCTCCGCTCGCTACCAACCGCTGACAGCGCGATGAAGTCCCGGAGCAGGAGGTCCACTCCCCTCGGCTCAGAGCAGAAATAGTCCGGTGTGGCATCTCAGCTCGGGTCACCGTAATGCGACACCCCCCCCCCCACCCAATCCCGGCCCTCTGCACCGTCCAATTATGCGGCTCAACCGGAAACAGCGGGGTTGTGTGTGGACAAGTCCCCGAGAAGATCGTGTTCGGTATCAGGGGGCCTATGAGACCCAGGAGCCCCCTATCCTGTCCCTGAAATATCATAAAATGTCCCAAGACACATTAAAGAATAAAAACGGGACAATAAGCAGGTGCGGAATGAACACAAAATAAAAATAAAAACAAGGTAACATGAAGTAATAAAAACAGCAGGGGCAAACAAAGCATCTAATATAATGTTTTTAAAGTGATTAATAAGCTAATGAGTGCAGTAAAACATAAGTAAGTTACTAAAATAAAATTAATTCCCTATCTTACACCTCAGAGTGCCTTGATGGCTGGATTGTGAGTATGTTTAACCATGGATGCTCTCTGGTCCTCTCTTAAAGAGCATCTCTTCACCCCGCTTTTATTTTGGTAAGTTATTTATATCAGAATTTTAGGAATGTGGCTAATAATTTAGAAATAACTTTCTTTTAAAGAGAAAAACAGAATTTCCAGTGAATTAACATCACAATTTCCACAGCTGTCACTAGGATGCACAGCTGGAGACCTTGAAGGCCACAAAGTCATTTCTGCTAAATTATTGCAACACTTCCAAGATGCCCTGTGATAATGTCTGAAATCCCCCATTAGCAGCAGCTCTCACCAATCGTGTGTGTGTGTGTGTGTGCGCGTGTGCATGCGTGTGCATAGGCTCAGTGTTTTCTCCTGCCTGTTTGGGGTTTGAGTTCAGCTGCAGAGCGATGCAGCTGTGAAAACCACAAGTCACCTTGGTGATGCTGCCGCTGCGGCCGCCCAGGTGCTGATGGCAGGACAGTCTAACCCAAATCTCACATGTGCAACCTACTTTTTCTTTTACCTTGGTGCCGTTTCTGCAGCCGAGATCATGGTTCGCTTTAGCATGATGGAGCAAGGAAACCAAATTAAACCTGTAATATACATAACCTCGCCAATCATATGAGAAGTGAAACCTTCTAAATATCTAGGATCAGGAATAAATATCTTGAATAAGGCAGGAGGGAACGTAGAAGCAGTGTGATTAGAAGCCTGGGGACAAATTCTGTGCATATGATGGATAAAAAAAAGGCGTAATGATCCGCACTCGCCTCGAATTCCTCGATTTGTGTTTTAAATCTGTGAAAGCTACTCTGTCATCTCTGGTCTCCTGCCGATGTGTTTCCTAATGAGCTCCAGAGCGTATGAAGTCTTGTGTTGATCCAGCAGCACCTTGGAGAGGAAACTCAAATGCCTGCTCTTGCTGTCCAGAAGCAGTGATCCTTTTTTTATTTTCTTCGTGATCTCAGGATGGAGAAACGAATGCAGAAAGAGCGACTGCAGACAGGAATAGGTGTAGAGATAAATATGTACGAGTCCACAGGTCAGCCAAGTCCAAAGACCTGGTGTGAAACAGAAGATCCACTGCTGATTACACTCCTGGTTGTAGAAGATGGTTTTTATCAGTTTAATTACAAAGGATGTACCCGGCTTAAGGACTAATCCTCAGTTTAGCTGACAGTGGCCATCTGAAGTAGCTTTTGGACATTTTTCACGGCCCTGCCTGTGTGTTAGTGTAGATGAGCCAGGCAGCTTTTGGCTGGAGAAGAGACGTGTCCTGGTGAGAGAGAGAGCAGATGGATGATGATGTAGCTGGTTCTGGTGCTCCCTTCCTCCCGCCGCCATCCGTCACACACTAATGATCGTGTCACACCTTCTCCCCGGGCGGCCGGCCACTTCTGCAGCGCTCAGCTCAAAAATTGGTAGCTGCGCTTAAATCCCTTCTTCCACCGCCGTCGGCTGAACAACCTGGAAACGGGCGGCTCTGCAAGCCTCTCCATCACCTATTCCTCATGTCTCACATCTTCCATCTTCTCTCTTCAACCCTCTTCACCTTTAAAACCCCCACAGACTCATTTTTCTCCATCTTCTGTTTCCCTCCCGCTTATTCATCCCGTCCTCCTTGGAGGAAAAACCGTCTCTTCCTTCTTCTTTTTTCCACTTATACTGACACTTTTGCTTTTATTTGTCTAAGATAACAAATAATAACCAACCCTGTTGTGTCTCACACACACACACACACACGCGCACACACACACACAGAGGAAACAGCAGGGCAGTAAGTGGTTATTCTTTTCATTAAAAATTTAACTTTGATGTTATTTATTAATGCATCATCTTGTCTATAAAACATTAAAAAGTGTGAAAATACATCTTTTTTATTTTTTCAACCACCCCAAAACACACGTGCAGTATATTTACCACATAAACGTCTCCTTTAGGCGACTTCAGCATCAGAATCGTAGAAAGAACAGGTCTGTTTGTAGATGATGATGTCATCTGAGTAGAACATGTGTGGGAGCGGAACGGGTCGGTACCTGTGAAACATTTATAATAAGCACTAAACTGGAAGTCCAATTATCTGATTAGAAGCTTAATTAGCAGCCTTAATTATCTGAAGTAATTTGCTTTGTTTTTTTAATGCAAGGAAATATTTTTCTAGTTGTGTAAATGACATTCCAGCTGAACCACATCTATAATTTAGGTCTGCGGTTTCTTTTGGACGCCTAAGGAAAGTAAACGCAACACGGACTGACAGAAATCTGTTGCTTTAAACTGCTCTTACTTCCTGTTGGTGTTGAATAACCACGTTATGGGACTCAGCATCCTCGGAGCTCATCATTCAGTCCCAGGTGTTGCAGGATTAAGCGTCCCTCGAGCGCTGCGTTACAGCAGAATGTGTCCCCGCTGAGCGATTTTTGGCTGTTCTGGAGTAGATGGTTGGAATGCCACTTCCCCGTGTGTGTGTGTGTGTGTGTGTGTGTGTGTGTGTGTGTGTGTGTGTGTGTGTGTGTGTGTGTGTGTGTGTGTGTGTGTGTGTGTGTGTGTGTGTGTGTGTGTGTGTGTGTGTGTGTGTGTGTGTGTGTGTGTGTGTGTGTGTGTGTTATCTCCGTGGTCTCAGCAATCTTCTCACCACAGGGATCAGAGGCTCAGCTTGGCATTCTGGGGACATCATTGCTACCAGATCAGATGATGCTCTCCTCCACAGCTGCTGTTTCTAAGAAAAGCTGGAGGACACGCTAGAATACCAGACACGCGTTCAGACGAGCTGCTACACACACACACACACACACACACACACACACACACACACATGTCTGGCTTCCAAACACAGGCTTATATCTTAAAGTCACAGAGGCATACAGGCGTGCTTACAGTAATAACACTGAGTACGGTAGGGCAGCAATTAGCTGTCATGCCAGGAGAGCGTTCAGGAAGTGCCGACAGGAGTTCACGCACAAATGAGCGGGAACACAAGTTTAGCGTCTGATGTCATTTCCAGCAGTGATGCGTCTATGCTCTGGCAACTGTTTGATATAAGTGTGTGTGTGTGTTTGTGTCATGAAACGGCTGCTAACACCGTTTTCTTCTCTCTCCTGTGTGTTTTATCTCCAGGCTATTTCCCATTAGATCCAGCGAGAGAGTAGAACAGTAGAGAACGTGAGCCGAAGCAAACGCAATAATCGTGTTTCTGGCTGCCCTGTGGGAACATGGGATATACAACCCCATCTTTCACCCGTGAGACTCTCCAGTAAACAAATACACACAGGTGGGCGCTAGCTACACAATGCTACACACTGATGTGGAGATGTCTGACACGAGCGGAGCCAACAGAATCTGTAGAAACCAGCGGTTGTGTTTTCCAGAAGGATGACAGAGGCAGAGGTAAAAATTACAGACGTCCTGGTTGAGACACCATGTGCTACCAAGAGCTGCACCTCTCCATCGCTACTCCTACCCCTCTGCGAACAGAGGGAGGCCGAGGATCGTCAGGCTGACATTAGTAAGCTCGAGCAGCAGGTACGTGACATTAAACATGCAGAAAACACATTTAAATAGATGCATCTTCGTCGCTAACGCGTATTTTATATGCAGATAATAAATTGTTCTCTCATTCATAGAAACAAGGTAACCCGGTGCAACAAAAGAAGAAAGTCAGGGTAAGCCAAAGTAGCCCTGCCTCTCATTATTCATTCTCTCCCAGATATCGATTCCTCTCGACTATGAATTCATAATAATGCTTGTGTTTGTGTTTCAGAGCAAAGGGAAGTTGGTGCGCAGCGTGGCAGTCAGCGAGGACTGCTACCCGTACGAAGAAACCAAGGTAACACACACACACACACTCATGCTGTCATCTTCTACCGCCTCCATATTCTCATCACCACTAAATTACCCGCTCTTTCCTTCAGTTTCAGGCATCTCCAGATGCAAACATCTCATCTAGCTGCCATGACAACAAGAGGGCTTCCTGTGAGGAGGAAGAACAAGAGACGAGCACAGATCCAAAGAAGCTTTCGCCGTCCAAAGGTGTGTGTGTGTGTGTGGGGGGGGGGGATGTTTCATAAGTCAGTGGGTAAAGCAAATAAAATGTAATAAAATGTGATTCTCTGTTGTTATTTAGATGTGCGTCTCCTGGGGGTGTTATTTATTGCTGTGTGCTTTTGTGTTTTTGCGCACGGTGAGACGTCTTCCTGCTTGATTGTGTCTCCTAGAGGCCGTCGTGGAGTACACGGACTCCACCGGCATCGATCTGCACCAGTTTCTGGTCGACACCCTCAACAGCAACTCCAGAGATCGCATGATGCTGCTGAATCTGGAGCAGGACATGATCGACTTTATCAACAGCAAAAGGTGTGTGTGTGTGTGTTTTCTGTGTCTTTGGCGATTCTAACATCACGCTGCTGTCTCTCAGTCTCTTTAAGAAGTTCCCTTCCATGTCCTCCTACCACCGTATGCTGGTCCATCGGGTGGCGGCCTACTTTGGCATGGAGCACAACGTGGATCAGACAGGCACGTCTGTCATCATCAACAGCACCAGCAGCACACGCATGTAAGCACCACCAGTGTGTCACATCGTCCCTTTCTGCTTCCGCGGGAGCTAAAGACAGTTCTGTGTGTCCCCGTCAGACCCGACTGGAGCTTTTTGGACAAGGTGTCTCCTGACAAGAGAAACGAGATCCACCAGATGAAGTTCAGTCTGAGGTGGAAGAAGAGTTCTGATGACCAGGTCTGCTCTCTCTGGAGCTTTCTCCGCAGATGACTCTGATCCTCTCCTTCACTCACTTCGTCCGCTCTTCCTTTTCCAAACAGAACCGCCGTCACGTGTTATGTGAGAAGCAAAGCAAGTCGATGGAAGAGAGAGAGAAGTACCAGAGGGCACGAGAACGAGTCTTCAACAGAGAGGTGAGAGAAAGAGAGCGAGACGGACGCGACAAAGAGACGGGAAGGATTCTGGCTAACGTCTGCTCTGTGCTTCTGCAGCCGCCGTGCACCCCGGAGAGCAGCCATGCAGAAACCATGTAACCTTGCCTGAAGTGCAGATTCTCCGTGTGACTTTCAGCTTTTTATATTTAGATGAGAACATTAATATATGTCTGTGTGTGCAGGGATGTGGAGGAGTACAGTCCTCATGCCAAGGCCCAGAGGAGGAGACAGCTCTTCAGGTAGAGCTGTGCACACACACACACACACACACACACACACACAGTCATTTATCACTGATCACACACGGCCTTGTTTAGGAAGACTTTAAAGACGATTCTGGTGAGTTAATGTAGCGTAAAGCCCCCAGCCCCTCATGAAGCGGGTCTGGAGCCCGCTCTGCTCCTCTCATGCAGTCAGAGGCTGACGGTGACTCTGGATGTGCCTCACAGGGGGAGCCGCGACAGCTCCGGCTCCAGCTGGACAGGCAGCAGCAAGCAGAGCAGCTTTGAAACAGACTGTTGCTACAGCAACGGCCCCCGACCTTGGAGCAGCACCGACTCAGACTCCTCCTATCAGTGGACAAACCCTGCGCCAAAACCGTGCCCGTCTGCCAGCCACAACTGGGATCCTCGAGGTGCAGGTGTGACTTTCTACACGTTTCATAACTTTTTAACTTCTTATGTCACGTTGGTGGGCGTAAATCCGTCATGAGAGGTAAGACACTTGGCTCCTCGACACCTGTGTGGATGCACTTCGCTTCATCATTGTGGAAAAATTGACTGTTTATAAATTATCACTTTTTATTCAGCAGTATCTAATTAACAGAAATCAGTGGAAGTTCTGGTGTGAAAACTCGGCTCCGGCTACAAATCTTCACACCAGAGCTGCAAATGTTCACACAACACCTCCAGTCCTCGCATAGTCAGGGAGAAAGTCATTAATGCTGAAAGGTGGTTTTTCATCCATCGTTTTCTCTTTTTCACGTCTATTCTTGCTCTCCGTCTCCCTCAGGCTCCATCGCTCTTCACAGGCTGCCTTCCTCCAATCCTCACTGCTCTACTCCTCCCATCTTCCAGGAGCACGCTCCTAACTCCTCCTTCGTCACTGTGAACCCGCTCACTGGTACGTTGCACACTCACCAGACTGTCCAGAAGGATGTACACTTTTATCACGCTCAACCTTTGACCTCTCAGGACAGCCTCACCTCAACTCCGAGGGAACCCCAGCTGTGTACGTCCCTCTGGACAACGAGCAGCCAATCAGGAGCCAGACTCAGCCTCAGCAGCAGGTAACGGTGAGCTGTCAGAGACGTTCACGCACTTGTCCCTTCTCTTCATGTCTCCATGTTGTCTCTCAGGTGGTCCAGTGCTCGTCTGTCTGGTATCCGGCTCCACAGATGTTACCCGTCTCCTTGCCGCCGACCGTACGTATCCCTAAACGACCCGCCGTGCGTTTCCATAACGTGTTTCACCTCCTGTTTTTCTCCGGCCAGATTGAAGATCTCTCCTCACATCTGGCTCAAGTTTCAGTGAGCTGTCAGCCAGCAGCAGAAGCCCCGCCCCTTTACCCCCCCAGTCAGGGTTACATCTATGCAGCTCCTGTCTCCTCCAGCTACTGCCAGCCCTCGCCTCAGGTAAACACACACCTGGGTCAGAACGTTCTCCACGTTTGTCAGGATAACAGACGATTTAATGACGCTCAGGTGCCTGCGGGTTACTACGGCCAGTACCCTACCTCAGCTCAGCATGGATGCAGCCTGGTCCCACACACCCAGCACCTCCACGGCCAGGCAGCACAGCCGACAGGTACGGGCACGACTCCTCCACGCACCTGACTCTTCAATCAATCAATCAGATTTATTTATAAAGCGCTTTTCAAACAGAGTGCTACTCAAAGAGCTTTACAAAATAACCATAACAGGTTAAAAACATTAATAGACATATGCAAGCACACACACACACACACACACACACAGGTAAAATTATATTTGGCTGAGTCCAGATGAGCCAAGTAAGGTAAGGCAAGGAAACGCCATCAGAGGAGCCGTCTGCCCCGGCAGCATCAGGTCTTCCACACTAACTCAGGGCGCTCAGAGGAGGGGGAGCACAGACCCCCACCTATAGAGCGCCCAGAAAGCTGCAGTCGACCACCGCTCCCGGGGCAGAGGGCCCCTACAGAGGAAACACTGATTAAAATGAGTAAAAATATAATAATTGAGCAAATATAAGGAACAAAATTTAGAAAATAAGTAATAAATAAAATCATATAGACAGTAAAACAATTATATTAAATAATAAAACTGTGCTAAAATATAATCATATAAAACATGCAAAGCAAGCAATAAAATATAATCATGTAAAACGAGAAATAAAACTAGTAAATATTTAGATAAAAGCTAACTAAAAAGATGGGTCTTGAGCCTGGACTTAAAAACATGAGCGTTCTCTGCGGCCCTCTTCTTCTGTGTTTGTGCCATCGCGAGAGGCTGAGAGAGAAGCGAGCGCGCGGTGGCAGTAGAGGAGGGGGCCGTTACACTGTCAGAGATGTAGTCTGAGGGTCTCACAGTGAACCGGTCTCTTTTCCTGCTGTTTCCTCTCATCCCATCGTTCCCTCTGATGTAACTAAAGTCGTCATCGTTTACCAGAACTCCTCGACAGGACGGTGCGGCAGAAACCTCAAACCCAACAGAAATGGTTATTTTATTTCAATCCACTACATCAGGGTTTTATTATCTACGGTTGAAACTACAAATGTGGACAATTAATCCTGAAAATGTAATAAACTTTATTTTTTCAGAGCTCTTCTGATTGTTCCTTACACGTCGTTAAACTAGCGACTGGGTATTGATGTGTTTCCTGTCATGAATCAGCTGTTAATCACGTCCTGTGTGTGTAGGAGGTTACCCCCCCGCTGTGAGGGTGCAGCAGCCTTCCCACCCACACCCCCAAGCCGTACAGACCACCTACACACCTGTTGCCTCCCATCAGTGTAGCATGATTCAGGTAAACACACACACCTGAACTCCGTTCACAGGGCTTCACCTTCTTTTGAAATTAAATGTTTGTCTCCTTGCAGGGGGACGTCCCCATGTCCTTCCCCCAGTGTAAGGGTGGAACTGGGGATGCAGGGTACTGCTGTGTGGTCCCTCCGCCCTCCCACCACAGTAGCTGCCATCTTCCCAGCTGCTCCGCCCTTAGCGCTCCAGCCTGGAACGGGCAGTTCTGATGGAGTTCTGGTTCCTGCTTGAAGTCATGCTTGCACATGTTTTAAACTCAATGTTTTTGCACTTCGTCACTAACGCCGATCCCTCATCTGGGTCTGCTGTCACACACACACACACACACACACACACACACGCTTAAAGAGATAAATATTCCACTGTACCAAAGCTTAGTAAAATATATAAGATTTGCTGTTCTGAATGCATAATTTATATTCACAAATGGAGTTTTATATTGTTATTAAATTATATATTGTGTTTTAAGGAAATGCACTGTGTGAAGAGAATAAAGTGCCATGGCTCGACTGATGAGGTCACGAGTCTGCGTCGTCCTTCCTCTGAACTTCACATCATTTATAGTAATCCCTTCTGTGATGAGAAACGTTCATCAGGAAGTCAGCAGCAGCGCGACCCACGGCCGACCACAGCAGAGATGAAAGAGAGTTAGAGGAAAACAGGTCTGAATTCAGGATCAGGATAATAAACACTCAGAGAAAGTTCTGTTTTAAGTGTTTGATAAGAAACTGATATTTTTAAGCTAAAAAAAACCAGAAAATTTCCCATTTTCCTGTTGGACGTGAGCGCCCTCTGGTGCTCAGTAACACCCACTACACAGACCTGCTTTTTATTCATCCACGTTACCACTTAGTTTTTAATTCCTCAGTTTAATCTGAACAGAGTTTCATAATCTGAAGAGGTGACCGGGTATTTTTTATTGTACTTCCTCTCCTTTACAGAAAAACCAGACATTAGGACGAGCGACGCTACGGAAGCCAGCAGGCACAGAAACGACTCCTGAAAAACAAAAATCAGCCGTCGCTGATTTAATTTACACCTGTGCTTCTTCTGCTGAACATCCACTCAAAAAGATCAGAATCCTGCTAAGTCCTGACTAAATCCAGTTAGTTTACCTTAAAATCCACTTCGCTTAAGTCTCCAGGCAATCCACATCTTCCACTCCTGCAATATTCCCACTTTTGCTGTTGAGCAAGCAATAAACCACCCACGTGGTAACGTTTCAAACGCTGGATAACTCATTTTGTGCTCCGTGTGATTCATATCCTTCAAATCAAATTCAATGAAACGTATCCATCACCCACACGCCGCTCCGGAATTAAATTTAAAATTTCATAACCGCAGCAAAGAATGCATAATTTATACAGATGGATGTGCATTTCTGTCCAAACACTGGAGGCAGACGCAGCAGTGCAGGTTCCATGATCTTTAATAAAAGGCACATGTACAGCCATAGTGACATGAGTGAGACCACCGGCATGGAGACAGAAGCGTTGAGACGTGGACAAACAGGAAGTGGGTCAGGAGGAGAGAGATCTGTCCGCCTTTACAGTAGATGATGCTAAAGTAACATCCACTTGTTCAAGTAATTCTAGCACTATTATGTTTCTATGGTAACACCCTCATTTCCACAACACACACACACACACACACTGGATCACCCAATAAATGTCATCTCTTTAAAAGGAAAGTCCAGATCGCCCTGAGACAGTTTGGGGACTTGTGGACTCGTCACAACGAGCCTCTGGGGGACTTGAACCCATCAGCTGTGTGTCGGGACTCTCTGGTGATCCGATAAAAGCAAACGAGACGTCTAAAAACAAATAAGAGATCAAGATTGTGTTGATCAAAAGAAAGTTAAGTATAAAAACATGAGCTAAAACACTTTAATATCATGCTAGAACTATAAATATAACTAATTTTATTTATTTTTTACTTCTGTGATGAAAAGCGTCAACAAAGTGTTTAAAATGAGCAGAAACCAAAATAATAAACGTCTGAAGGCCCTGAAAGATCCAGTAGTGGTCCAAGTCCTGCTCAGGAGGACGTGCTTACGAGGACGCCACAGCCGTCATTTGTTAAAACACACACACACGTCTATTCTCACAGTAAAACTCAAAGTTCACAGGTTCTTAACTATTTGGGGTTAAGAGAAATAAAAATGTGATTAGTGTTGAAGGTTAATTAGAACCGCAGCTGGAGGGGAAGAAACTAAAATATTCATGCAGACAAGTCGTCTCTCCTTTAGATGACAGGAGGGGGGGGGGGGGGGTCACTTGCTTTACTGTGAATTGTCCCTGGGGCTGGGGTCACGACCCCTGGCCCCTGCTGCTTCTGCTCTGTTTACTCTGAAACACAAAATGCAACAAAAACAAGCTGCAAACTCCACTTTGGTCAGTGTGTGTGTGTGTGTGTGTGTGTGTGTTTAACCTTTGGTTGCAGGTGTCCCGAGATCAGCCCCCACCCCCCACTCCTCCTTGCCACATCATCTCATCACCATAGCAACTCACAGCTTTCCCGAGCTAGGCAGCTCGCTATCTTGTAAAAAGGAAGTATGTGTAGTTGTGTGTGTGTGCGTGTGTGTGTGCGTGTGTGTGTGTGTGTGTGTGTTAAGAGGTAACAATGGTTCTCTTTAATCATCTTCATTCTCGTCCTTCATCCTCTCCTCCTCCTGATCTTCAGGTCTTCACTTCTGGACTTGGAAGATGAACAGGCGCAGGTTGATGTTTTTGGCAGCCAGCAGTTTGTTGCACTCCACCGAGTCGGAGATGGGCAGCGGGACGTAGTCGGTCTCGTTGGCGTCGTTGCTGAAGGAGTGGTGGTAGATGACCGGCTTGATCCGGACGTCGTCATACGGACCCTTCAGCAGCAGGAAGGAGCACTCCAGAGCAGAGTTCACCTGGAGACACGGCAACACATTCCCCAGTCATCTGAAAATCAGCTTTTAGCATTTCCTTAAAACTATAGGCTTTTAGTCTACAATAAACCTAAACAAACATCATTTCATCCACTCTTCTAGTGTATTTTTATGCTATCCGCAAAAACAAACTCCACGTAACGAGTGATTAATGACTGTTTTTGCTTTCCTTTACTTTCAGGACTCTTTTTGACACTTTGGGAGCGTGGTTATCGCCACCTCCCTCATGAGGGAAGCCATTTTAGGGCTGAAACGCTACTCAGGTGTCTCTAAATAGCAGCGAGAGCGAACCGGCCCATCTACAGCATCCCACTCTCTGGAGCTCGGGCGGGAAAGGCGGTCTCCGGTGGCCTACACCAGGAGGAGCATGGAACAACGGAGCAGGGTCTCCAGGGAGATCCCACCCCTGCTCGCTCCAATTAGACACGTAAACCAACTCACCTCTGACGTCATTTGCTTTGTATTTTGCAACCGAACAACGAAGCGACTAGCAGCAAACTTCGGGAGGGGGAAGTTGTTGGTTTGAGGTGACATAGTTCCTGCTTCGCCCTCTGGCAAACTCAAAAATAGACGGACAGAGGGGAGAAGCGAGGGTACCTTGCTCTTGAGGATGAGCTGGAAGGAAAGCGTGCGCTTGCAGGAGAGATTGGGGTTGCGTTCGGAGTCGTTCACACGGGCCTTCAGCACCCACGTCTGGTTGAGAACGGTGAAACGTGGAGTCTCGTAGTACAGCCGGGTGATGAAGTCATCGGTGCGGTACGGCCGGAACTGGACCTCTGAACAGAAACGCAGAAAAAAAAACGAGGAGTTAGGATCCTCACTTCCTCTAAAGCGGAATCTAAAGAAGCGTCGCTTTTTTATACCCGTAAACCCGATCTTCTCGTAGCAGAGCAGGCTGAAGATGCTGTTGTACAGCTGCATGTCTCTACGGTGATTATGGTCCATTTCTCCCAGTATTCCCATCAGCTCTGTGCCCGTCTTTGTTGGATGGGAGCACTCGCTCTCGTGGGCCGGCAGCTCGTGAAACGGTCCTTGCCAGGGGCAGCCGATCCTCTTGTACTTACACTGCGTCACCCTGGAAACACATGGAAACAGTCAGAAGACACAGAAAAGGGCAGACCTGTGTACGCGTTTCCTTTTAAGAGGATCTAAACGATGCGGGATACACGATTTACATCCTTTACACCTAAAATAAAACCTTTTTCTGTCTGATGGTGGATCTTCTGATCCTACTGTTTCTCTGAGTGTGTGTGTGTGTGGTGAACCTGTCTTGGCACTCCTCCTTCTGGTGTCTCTCCAGGCTGGAGCGAGGGAACTGTTTTAGGCAGAAGGTACATTCTGTCGGAAGCTCGCTGACAGCCTTCTCCACCGCCAGATTCCTGCAGCACAAGTTCTTGCTGATTTCACACCTGCATGAACAAAAGGAAGAGACGATTCTTTTGTCAGCGCGGCGAAACGGCTAATAATCACGGTGTGTGCAGGACGTTCAGAAGAACTCCTAACAGGAAGTGCAAAAGTATGTAAAATCTTTAGGTTTTTACATAAAAACAACAAAATACACTCAGCTTTCATAAGGGTTACCATCTTGTGTGTGCGTCCTGTCGGAGGTTTTATTCCAACCACCCTGGATCCGAGTGCCTAAACAGAACTTTACCTGCAGTTGGGACACGTGGCTTGCTCTTCCTTTAGACGGGAGTCCGCCAACAGGTGAATAAAACAGCCGGCACACATCAGGTGTCCGTTGGTACACTGCAAGGGGAAGTCAGTTAGGAGAAAGCTTACGGGACCTGGAAAAATAACCACAGATGCTGCTAAATAAACTGAAATTCATCTTTTAAATGCATTTGTTTAACCGTTGCTAAGAGATTCTGTGGACTTCGCTAAGAAAATATAAATTAATTTAGGGAAACATGGTTTATAAATGACATTATTGGACATTCAGCTAAGGAGCAAACACTGTTAAATGTGTTATAGATTTGATGCAAGTGTACCCCAAAACGACTTTAGAAGGAAATGTGTAATTTTGCACTTTTTATGGCGTTATTGTTTATCATATATGAAGAATGCTCATGTTTTTTATTACTAATGGACATTTGGAAGGACTTGTCAGTGTTTTGGGAGCAGTTTGAGGTCATTCCGGGGAAACCAAATGAAGGACAGAAGGTTCTGTTGTGTGTTGGGCGGTGGGGAGTATTTAACATGTTACACCTGGTCAGGTGTGTCTGGTCTCGTGGCTTCACTTTGCTGGTTGACATTTCCAGGCTGTATGAAAACATGGAAACGGCTCAGCAGAGCCAACAGGTAGACTTGGTTTGGGGCTCATGTGTGGGACATGTTTCGATGATGTGGTTCTGGAGGTGTCTGAGTTACGGGGCATGGGGGGAGGGGCTGGTTGACACTTTTACCTGGTACACAGACGCCTTGGGCAAGTCTAGGCACACGGTGCAGCACAGCACCGAGTACAGCCTCTCCTCCAGCTTTCCTGACTCTCCCTCGGGTATTTTCACCCTCTTCTTGGGGGGCTCGTCTGGGTCAGGTTCGGGCCCCTCTCGCCGTATCCCGACGTCGTCCTGCATGGCCGCGACCCCGGCCACAGCCTCCACCGCTGCCCCCACGGCTCCGACCCCCAGGCCGGCCGAGGAGGAGCCAGGGGCAGCCGCAACGCCCACGTCTCTTTCCTCCATTGAAGAAATTGCGATGGCCGCGTTCAAGTGTCTTGTTTTCAGCCGAAATTATGAACACGTTAGCTCGCGGTTAGCACGCGACCTGTCGAGCTAATGGTCAGCTGACGGCGAGCTAACGTGAGCTAAGCTAACGCTCCAGGAGCAGGCTGTCAGTAGGAAAAGGGAGGCGAACTAAATATGAACACGACCCAACATAAACCGGCGTGAATAATATCGTTAAAAATAACAAAACCATGTGCGAAAGTGTAACACCGACAATCAGAATGAAATAATTTGTCTAGTTTAGCCGACTTACAGTGAAGCTAGCGGACTAGCTACGGAGACACAAACTCAGCAGTCCTCTCCCTGTGCAGAACAAAAACAACTCGGTCTCACGCAGCTGCTCCTACACTCTCGACGCCGTTAGTCGCACCGACAGCCGGTGCGCGGTCCGGTTCGGCTGCTCCCCGCAGTCCCTGCTCCGGTACCGTCTGACTGTCCACAGAACCCTCGGAACGTGCCGATGACTAAACCTACAGAGAGTTCTGTTGCTTTCTGGCTACACAGCCATCTTTGTTTTGTTTTTTTTCTTTTCCTGTCCGTTCCCCGACTTCTCCCTCCACAGCTTTCTGTTGCAGCTAAAAAAAAGACTCGCTATATTGTGGCCTAGTGTAGAAGTTGCGCTTTTTAAAGTAAATATGTCGCCAGCATCTGCACGGGCCTCTTCGGGCTTTAACTGCTCAGCTTCGGCCGTAAATTGGCTGACAGCGGAATGTTTTGTTTTGCCAGATGACTTGGGGTTTTAAAGAGTCTGAAATGCGCATGCGCGGTGAGCACCCTGTGGCCAGTTCCAGGAAAAGTACCTAAAACCTGATGTGCGACAAATTTGGATTTTCTTCGTATCCTATAAGACTCCATGTACTTATCCAGGCTAAATGATAAACATAACATTAACTTTCAAATGTTCATGAAAAGTTTGTACAAATATTAATCAAATCACTCATCTGAAATATGTGTTTTTTCCTCACAAATCACAAATTGTTCTTCAAGATTGTCTTAATTAAGTCCTTAACTTTATGCATTGTATTTAAATAAAATTTCAAGAAAATTATGTAACATAATTTTGTGTTTTGTGCTTAGGAATAAATCAGGGTGACTCAGATTTCATTACTTTTAGCCTCTGCCATTGATATCTGCTTATAATAAGCAATTATATGATTGTTTTTAAACGAATCAGAAATGTGATTTAAAAAGCCACAAAGGCTGGGAAAGGGTGGAATCAGACGCAAGACTGGGTGGGATAGGAAGTCAAGTGTGTCAGCTGTTGAGAAGGACGGGATTAACCGCTTGGACTGGTCAGAAAGGTGTGCCTTTTATGGTCCGTGTGGAATACCACCCTTAGCCATGCAGACAGTTTACCCACACGCTGCCCTCAGCGCCGTGCCTTTTTCTCCAAAAGTAGCAGCAGATTTGGTTTAAATCAGACACAATAAACACAATCAACAGTTACATTGAAGCATTTACTATTCGTGGACATTTAAGCTTCTAGGGGTAGATTTCTAATGTTACAAAACAAGGATGGGTTACAGCAGTAATGACTAAGAGACCTAATCTAATCTACAATTTACACAGAAAATAAAACAGAAAAGGTGCTTTAAAACTTTCAATCCGTTTTTCCAGACAACATTTTAACCCTGTCACGATTACACAAGTGCTGCGCAGTGGCGCAGAGGTTAGAGCTGTTGCCTTGCAGCGAGAAGGTCCTGGGTTCGATCTAAATTGTCTAAATCAGGGGTGTCAAATATGCGGCCCGCGGGCCGGATCCGGCCCGCAAGCGGGATAAATCCGGGCCCGCGAGATGGTTGTGTAAACTTTATTTTCATACTTTACAATGTAGAGTGAAAATAAACGTATCTTTGTGAGCAAGTTTTCTCTGTAATGAGTATAAATAAAGCAAAGCTGCGCTCAAGGCTCACACAAGAACTTGAATCCCATCCTGAAGATGGCCGCCACTCAGGATGTGACTTCTGATGTTGATGTGCTGGTGAAAGCTAAAAGATGTAAAGTAAAATGAGTCAAATATACTTTAAGTGCTGCATGAAACTGATCTAGCCATGTGATCTCTAAGCTCTTTGAATCACTGAGGAATGTTTTTATTTATTGATTTTTTTATTTTTTTTCAAATTTTCAAGTACACTTCAGATGTTGTACTTGTACTATTTTGGATACACCATCCTCAGGCTCCAGCCTTGTTTTATATTGATTGTATTAAAACAAAGAAAACAATCTGAAGTTGTTTTTAATTTACCGGTCCGGCCCACTTGGGACTAGATTTCCCTCGATGTGGCCCCTGCGCTAAAATGAGTTTGACACCCCTGGTCTAAATCGTCCTTAGGTGAGTGTGTGTGTGCATGATTGTCCTGTGTGTCTCTGTGTTGCCCTGCGATGGACTGGCTCTCTGTCCAGGGTGTACCCCGCCTACTTGCTCGTTGACTGCTGGAGATAGGCACCAGCCCCCCCCCCCCCCCCCCCCCCTCGCAACCCTACGTGGACAAAGCGGGTTCAGAAGATGGATGGATGGACGATTACACAATATCTAACGATTCATTTTTGATTAGAAGACAAAATAATTATTAAATTATTAGGATGAATCGGACTCGTCACTCATCTAATGACCAGATTCAGTTCATGTCTGCTGACGGATCTAAGCATGAATGGCTGATTTAGTTCGCTGGATGGAGGACGGCTGCTGTGTTTGTGTTGCTGAGGAGAGACTGAGTCGCTGTGACGGGGTTTGCTGCTGCTGAAGGTGGAGAGCCTGGAGGTGGCTGCTCCTCATCGGTGTGTTCTGATTCGAGAAGAAGACTCGGTTTGGGTGGTGGTTGAGCCAAGCTGAGTTAGATCAGTGGGGTCTGGATCTCCTGTTTCATGTAGCTCTCCAGATTTTGGTTTCTCTGGACAACACGAGACATCTAAAGGTGCTTTCTCTTCGGTTGTGCTTGTTTCTTGTCGCTGCAGCAGTGCAGGTTTCGCCTCCTCTTGTCCTCTCGCTGTGAGCTCACCGCATCTCCTGAGAGTGATTTTGCTGCCTGCTGTCTGGTCTGTCAGCGATTCTGCTGCACTTGTCTGGACCCCCCTCTGACTTTTGCCGGTGGGCGCCCTCTGCTTGCTCGCTGAAGCCATCGCTTTCACCCACGTATGCTGGAGAGTCTGCTCTGCTGTCAGCCTCGCCGCGGGGTCCGACTGAAGCAGAGATCTAACGAGGCCTTTAGCTCCTGGACGCAAACACACATTTACATAAATATTTACAACATTTGTGCTCGTGTGTAATGTTTCTGTGTTCTACCTTCTGAGGCGGAGTCCCAGAAAGGGGATGGAAAGTGAAGCTGAGCTTGTTTGATTAGCTTGAAGAGCTCCTCCTGGTCCCGATCCCGACTGCGAAACGGAGCGAAGCCACACAGCAGGATGTAAAGAATGACACCCAGGGCCCAAACATCCACCGCCACACCGTAACCTGGTGGGTGAACGGGTGGCAGACCTCTTCAGGATGAGTGACATTCTGATTTGAATTGAAGTAGAGCCGCTGAAAGCATCTCACCTGTCTCACGGAGGATTTCTGGAGCTACGTAGGTCGGTGTGCCACATATGGTGAAGACCGGTTCGGTTACAACCATGGCGAGACCAAAGTCCCCCAACTTCAGTCGACAGACGCCAGCAGTAACTTTCTCTATCTACGAGAGAAGATGAAGAACTTAGAGCTTCATTAGACAGGAGACGACTGTCCCACCCTGACACCCACCAGCAGGTTTTCTGGTTTGAGGTCTCTGTGGACGATGCTCTTGCTGTGGATGTAACTCAGTGCGTCGCTCACGTCCAACACCATCAGCCCCGCCTCGGCCTCCGAGAACCTTCCCCTGTCGCTGATGGCCTCGAACAGATCCCCGCCACCCACCAGCTCCATCACCAGGTAGGAGTGCGTTTGGGTGTGATGGTGCGCCAACAGCTGCACTACACGAGGGTGACAAAGGCTTCCCAGAAGGCTCAGCTCGTTCTGCATCATGTGCTCCCGACCAGTCAGTTTGGAGCGCTCGACGATCTTCACGGCGAGAATCTGGTCGTCGTGGCGACGGCGGCACTCTCGCACCTCGGCAAAGTTCCCGTCTCCGATCACGCGTCCGATTTCGTAGCAGCGCTCAACGTCTGACGGGGTGAGATTGCTGCTGTTTGATGGCAGGGCGGAGGTGGCAGCTGGACTCCGAGGCTCTAACTGCATCAAACTCTTCTCCTCGTCTCGGCTGATTGGTCGAGGAAGCGAAGGGGTTTTGGCTTCCTGCTCTACACGTGACCTTTCTTTTTGTTTCTTCAACACGGGCGGCAGTGGAACCCGTCCTGATAGGGTACCAATCGCTTCTGGATGCCTCTCTCTTCTCGCTGAGCACTTTTCACACAGCACGGGAGACGGTACGTCTGCGTCCCCAAGGCCGCCATCGTGTTTAAACGGACCAACGACGGACAGTTTCCTCTCTCTGACTCCACCTCTCACACGCAGTTTCTGCAGGTTGTTGGGAAGTTGGGCGAGTTTTCGGCAAGAATTCCTTTTGTGAAACTTCTGCGAGTTTTCCTGCTGGCGTGTGTCCGTTTGCTCTGACACACGAGGGTCAGAAGGGCACGTGTCTTGTTTAGCGCCGCCGCCCTCCGTACCCTCGCTGTAACCGCTGTCTGCTTTGGCGGCTTTATTTGGTACCGGGCGGAGTTTCTTCTCCCAGGATCGGAGCGCGCTAGCACGGTAGTGTGAATGCTCTGGAAACAGTTCCTCCAAAGCTTCCTCCACACTGCTCAGCTCAGGACGAGTCTTACTGAGTGCCAGGAAGGCCACCTCGCCACAGAAGAAATCACACACACCTTTGACCTTTGGAAAAATAAAAAAGGCAAACGGATCAAAGAATACCAGCAGAATCCAGACCTCATTTCACTTATGCTTTAGTCTGTATCATGGACGTAATTTTTTTTGGGGGGGGGCGGGGGGGGGCATGTCCCCCCCACTTTTTCCAAAGTCAAGTTTTGACCCCTGCACTTTTTACCATCCAAAACAATATTACGCTATATTAAATTAACACTGGATGAGCTCTAGGACCAAGCAGAAAACAACCGTTTGTGTCATGGACGTAATTTTCACTTTAGAAGTGGGGGGGACACGGGGGAGGGAGGAGGGGGGAGGGGTATCTTTATGGTATGCTCTAATGGGAAACAGACTTCAACACAAACGGTTGTTTTCCGCTTGGTCCTAGAGCTCATCCAGTGTTAATTTAATATAGCGTAATATTGTTTTGGATGGTAAAAAGTGCAGGGGTCAAACCTTGACTTTGGAAAATGTGGGGGGACATGTCCCCCCTGTCCCCCCCCCCAAAATTACGTCCATGGTTTGTGTTGAAGCCTGTTTCCTATTAGAGCATACTGTAAAGATCCCCCCCCCGTGTCCCCCCCACTTCTAAAGTGAAAGTTACGTCCATGGTCTGTATGACTTTTCAGGAGTTTGGCCTCACCTCGCGCGCGTGTGCAGTGTACAGACGTGCGACTCTTCCTCTATGCCAGCGAGGAAACCCCAATGCCTCTGAGATGTCCAATAGCAGCTGCTCAAAGGAGACAACGCCCCTTCGGTTCAACAGCACGGTGACCTTAGGAAGCACGAAAATCACCTCAGTCTCAACAAATGTAACCATCGCGTACAGAATAGTCTCAAAGGTACTTTTGTCGGCGTCTGTTTGGATTCATTTGTGCTGAGCGCCTTAATATGATGCAGAATTCACCTTTCGTAGCTCACTTTGACCACAGGGTTGAACAATCGTGACCAGATGAGGACGGTCAGCGCTCTCTTCGGCGTGACGGGTGTGGAATAAAGGCAGGAGAGGAGGAGGAGCAGGAGGAGGAAGGTTAGACCTGGGGGTGCGCTCCACAGGGTGGGAGTGGATGGGCCACGGCTGAAGTACCCCGTTGGGTCGCTTCGACAGGGGAGCCGGAGGAGCTGAAGCAAAGGGAGGATCAGAAAGCAGAAGTGGAATTAGTGAAAGTGTACTAAACTGCAATGAGGTCACCACCTGAGTGGCGTGTTTCTTCTAGACTTGTGTACAACAAGAAGTAACTCAACACCAGTTCCTCATCCTGTGTGCGCATGAGTGTGAAAACAAATCCGGCCGATCAGATTTGAGCGTCTTCCATCACACAGGCAGGGTGCAAGGGGCCATTTGAGATTCTTCAATCACCATGCTGCACTGGTTGAATTATTTAGGCTTCCTTAAGTCATGAAATCCTCACATGTGCACACGCTCACCCACCACAACAAAAGCACGTCTGGCCTGGTTAGGGCTCCGCTGGATCTGCATGATTAATGAAGCGTGAGAGAAACACAGCATCTTTGACATTTCACTTTCTGGCACAATGGGAGAGAAAGAGAGATACGATCAGGCCACTCAGCACTTTTTTCTTCTTCTTCTTGTTTTGTTTTTGCTTCCCAGACAGAAACTTAAAACCTCCTGCACTGCAAGAAAGAACCTCACGGTTTTTAACAGGACACCCCTTGTCTGATGTCTGCGAGGTAACAACAACACACACAAAGTAGTCCCAGGGGACAGAGAAAAGATCAATGTCAGCTTAAACATCCCACAAAGAGCCAGCTGTTCCCAGCTTAACCAGTTTTCATCTTGTGTGTGTGTGTGTGTGTGTGTGTGTGTGTGTGTGTGTGTGTGTGTGTGTGTGTGTGTGTGTGTGTGTGTGTTGTGTGTGTGTGTGTGTGTGTGTGTGTGTAAAGATTCCCAACATTAGCATAGTTAGCCAAGTTTATTAGTAAGATAGGCCCAAGTGGATAATTGTCTATTTCCGCCTTTTAAGTTGTAAAAAAAAAAATGTAAAAGTCAGAAAAGTTACACAACACAAATGTTCATTAATTTAAATCCGTCAAAACTCACCTGCCAGTTTCCATTTGGTGTTTCGTGATGCTTCGTATCCATGCCGGGCTTTCTGTGAGGGCGCCATACGTTTAAAAAAATAAAATAGAGATAAAGATAACTGGCAAAAAAAAGCTTAAATTATCATTATCTTTATTATTTATATCTCATTTCGAAGACTTGCCGAGTTAGTCTCGGCTTTTAGTTCCCAGAGAAAGTAACGGGACGTGAGATGACCGTGGTGGCTACTGTGGTTACCATGGAGACACGTCAGGTTGAGCGTCAGGTGAAAAAAAAATCTGAATCACCGGAAGTTATTGTGTTGGTTTTCACAATAAGATTTTTTAAAAGCTGGAAATATTTCAATAAGGCCAAGACAGATTCTCTTTTTTTATTACAAATCCGTTTTATTCAACTATATATTCTATAAATATAAAGATAAAAATGACTGTTATTTCTTAACATGGAAGGATTTTTTTTTTTACAAACATTGCAACCGGAACTAGCATACCGACTGCACGT